CTTTCCCTATGCTGCTTCTACATGTCTTTCTGTTTCCCCTCACTTGACCTGAATTTCTTATCCAACTCCTGAGCAGCACCCAGCTCAGTGCTTCCCATGTAGTAAGGATGAAAAAAATAGTATTTGCTGGTAAATGATTGAATGAGTAAGTACTGTGAATTTTTTTTCAGTTTTTCCCCTCCCTTTTTGTCTGCTTCATCTCACCCACTAGAGGGTGCTGTGAGCACACAATTAAATATTGAGCTCTTAAGTTTTTTTCTGAAGAAAGGACATATGTATCTGCAGTGTAATAGAAAAATGAAGAGGATTTTTCTGTGTGTAAGTAATATAACTAGTATTTTATTAATGTACATTGACACCACATTTTAATTTTTCTGAAACAACATCTATATCAACCATTTCATATTAATTTAAGAAATCAAGACAGATGACATTGATACAAATGAATTCTTATCAACACTTGAGGATAACTATTTAAAATTCCATTTCTAGCCGAAGCCGGTTTGGCTCAGTGGATAGAGCGTCGGCCTGCGGACTGAAAGGTCCCAGGTTCGCTTCCGGTCAAGGGCATGTCCCTGGGTGGCGGTCACATCCCCAGTAGGAGATGTGCAGGAGGCTGCCAATCGATGTTTCTCTCTCATCGATGTTTCTAACTCTCTATCTCTCTCCCTTCCTCTCTGTAAAAAATCAATAAAATATATTTTTAAAAAATAAATAAATAAAATAAAATAAAATTCCATTTCTATACTGAAATACATGGAACACATTTTTATTGTTTAGGTACAGTTAAGAAAAAAATTTTTTTAAATAAAGGACAGTTAAAGCAATTATAAAATAAATATAATTGACTTCTATTTATAACACATTTTTTACAGCATACTTTGCCCATAACATTTTTTATATATCTTTTTTTTTAAGTTATCTCATTGTCTATGCATTTTACACAAACTGACAGTTTAAACCTTTTATCTGGAAGTTAAAACAGTGTATATTCAATCCCCAGTCTTATCTTGACACAATTTTAAAATAATCATAGAACACGTAGTAACAATTTTGTTTAGCCTTCAGTGACTCAAGAGATATAATTTGGACATGTATAGATCTTTAAAAATATTAAGCCTAAAGTGAAATTTATGAGAGTTTATAAGGAATCTTTAAATTATTTCTAAAGGGATAGTGATTTCTTAATACCTGTACTTGCTTTGCTTTATTTTTAATGTTTCTGCATTGAAATGGGCTTTTGTAACAATTTTTAAAGTAGTTTTTATAATTGTTTGGTTCTGACACCATCACTTGTATTTCTGGAATCTTATCACATTCCCGACAAAATTAAGTAATACTTGTCCATTATAATAGAGCATCTGGCATATTTCCTAGTATATTTAGTAAGCTTATAAAAATACAATGCTGCCTCCAGAAGGAATTTCTGGAAATAACAATTTGTCATCTTTATATAAATAAATTGTCTCTTGGTCTTTAAATTTTGTTTTATTTTGAAATACAATAATAGAGAAGATAGTATGATAAACATTGATATGCTTACCATTCATACTTAACATTTCTAAATGTTTTGTCACACTTATTTTAGGTACTGTTAATTTTTAGAACTAAAACTACATACTGAACCTTCTTTGTATCTGCTTATTGTCATTTTTCCTCCTCTATATTCTCTTTCTACATATCCTAACATGTAGGCATGAATACCCATGTTTATTATACTTTTGTCTGAAAAATGTATATTGTATATGTATCATTCTGTAATTTGCTTTTTTCCTTTGACATATTTTTAGGATTTATCTATTATACGTATATCTGCATTAATACGAGACTGTCTTAATTGTTGTACCTTTATTTTAAAATGATATTCCATAATTCAAGACCCCGCTTGCAGTTGTCTTCAAAATTGACTTGTCTGTTCACTGTTATATACATTTTTACATTTCATGAAAGCAGCTTTTTACATTTCATGAAAGACATTGGGGATTTTAATCTACATTCCATTGATTTTTAAAGGTGACTTAATGAAGGGGAAATTATCTTTATAATGTAGAAACTTTTTATTCATGAATATGCTGTCTTCCTCCTTGTGTTTCAGCCTTCTTTAAGTCCTTTGTGGGACTTATGTGTACTGTACTGATATATTATGTATATTAAAAAGAATCATCAATTATAATAAATGTTCAGGAAAGTCAGATAAAGGTAAATAGAAATAGACTGTTTTATATTATGTTTCAGTATCTTACTTTGGATAGCATGAGGAAAATCAGTTCCTTTTTTTTCTTCTTTTTGTGTTTTCCTTCTCTGACCACCCTATTCCACTGCCATGAAGTAGATGTTAGTGGAAGAGGTCAGAGAAGAAAAAACTGCCTTGCCTCCTCCTCACAAAATCCATTATTGGATGGGAAAAAGACTCTTGTGAATGAAGGAGTAGCATCAGGGAGTGTGGGTTATACCCCCTTACTTTTTTCTCCCACTTCTCCCCTCCATCAAATCCAGAGGGTGGTGAGGAGAAATACAATTAACTGAGACAGCAATAAGCAGAGATGGGAGATTGGTTTACTATCTCATCTTATTTATTTATTTACTAGAGGCTCGGTGCACCAGATTCATGCATTGGGACGGGAGGGGGTCCCTCAGCTTGGCCTGCATCCTCCTGCAGTCCAGGACCCCTAGGGGGGATGCCTGCCTGCCAGCTTAGGCCTGGGGATCAGGCTATGCTGGCAGGCGGACATCCCTCTCACAGTCCAGGGCTCTCGCAGTCCAGAACCCCTCGCTCCTTCCCACCCGCCTGCAGCGGAGGTGGGAGAGGCTCCTGCCACCACTGCTGTGCTCACCAACCCTGAGCCCAGCTTCTGGCTGAGCACACTCCCCTTGTGGGAGCGCACTAAACCAGCAGGGGGCAGCTCCTGCATTGAGTGTCTGCCTGCTGGTGGTCAGTGCGCATCATAGCAACCAGTCGTTCGGTTGATTTGCATATTGGGCTTTTATTGTATAGGATTATTGATTTTGAGAGAGAGAAGTTGCCTCCCATAGGGGATCAAACCCGTAGCCTAGGTATGTTCTCTGACTGGGAATGGAGCCACAACCTTTTGGTGTATAGGATGGTAGTCCAACCAACTAAGCCACCTGGCCAGGGCTTCTTTTTTTTATACTCCCCCTTATATAGCTTTGCTGTTGCATAACATTTCACCACTGTTACTCAATTCTGAACTTGAAGTGAAAAAGAGAATTTTATTCCTGCAATCATCAGCAGTCAAGCGTGCTGTCTTATGCAAATAAATTAAATTTCCAATTTGATAACTTTTTTTGTTTATAACTCTTTATAAAAATATGATTTAGGTTATACAGTTCCTTCTTTTGGTGGGTGTCAATTTCTTTGACAAACAATCTCCATCTGCCTCATTTTAAGTCTTCTACATTAAAAGTATAGCAAACACTCTGTAATTGAAGGTATTTTTAAGATTATGCTTAACAAAACTTAACCATAGAAATTAACTATAGAACATTTAGTTCCCAACTATAATTGGTTTAATCTAAAAGTTTTCATAGAACTTGTGGGATAAGGGATGTATTGTTCTGATATAGTAGCAGATTTTAAATTATCTTATACTATTCTTATAATGAGCATTTTAGTGATCAGATTTAATTAAATCTTACATTAAAGTAGTTAAAACAAGTTATTTCCAGGAACCTTAATCAAATAGGTTTATTAATCCTAATTTATTAATCAAATAGAGGGCATAGGCTTGATTTAGGTCGTTTATCAATGCTAAGACTCAATCTTTCATACTTTAATATCTCTGAAGTAGAAATGACTTGTTTTTAACATATATATGTATGTTATGTATACTTATATATATACACACACACACACACACACACACACACACACATTTTGGGTTTGATACGGTGCCATTGGGGCTTATGTTCAGTACACAGCCTACCAGTATAACATACCAGTATCTTTTCTGGTATATCACTGGCCTTTCTAAACTGCCCCTGGTGGTTGGTCTGTTCCCCATATGGTTGTTAAATATTTTAAGTACTAGAAATGGTTTGGTTTTTCTCCATTTTCTAAAAAAAATAATCTCTTTTTAGGTTGGAAGCTTTCTTAGAATTTATAGCCTTCATACCAAACTTCAATCAGTGAATTCGGAGAACCAGGCTACATTGTTAGCTCTAGAGTTTCATCTCCATGGAGGTACCAGTTATGGTCGGGGAATTAGAGTCTTGCCAGAAAGCAACTCTGATGTGGATCAACTGAAAAAGTAGGCTTATTAGACATCTATTTAAAAATTGTAAATAAGGTATCAATTAAGCAGATTTTCCAGATAATATTGTTCTGGGATGGTAAGGGGGAATCTAAAAGGTTCCTTGTAATTGATCCTCATAGCCTTCTGTGGCATTATCCATTTTTTTTAGTGAGATGAACCAAATAAAACAAATGAAGTGATTGTAGGTTCAAATAGCTAATGAGTAGCAGAGCTGGGGATATAGTCTAAGGTTTCCACTTCAGTATGTACTTACCTCTATTCGTCTATTCTTGCACATATGCTCTTCTGTCATTTGCCACATTTTCCAAGGACAGCAACGAAGAGTGGAAACGGGGGCTTAGCTAAAGTTGGAAAATTGCATATATATCTAGCATTCCAAATGTACTTGATTCTACTATTAAAAAAATAGTGGCCTTTCTAAAGTGCCTGTTGCTGATAAAATAGGTAACAGAAGTGTTTTAGGGTGTCATATTTTTAAAGTTTTTAGATGTTTCCAGAAAGTGGGTAGTACCCTAAGTCCTATATGCAGTTCTTTTTCCTGATGTGGTTCTAGTCTCTGTGTATAGGAATTTTTGACCAGTATTCTAGAGAAATAAAAGTAAATCTTCTGCATATCTTCAAAGAGATATAGAAAATATCCCATTCAGTACTTTGACATGATGTAGATATTTTCTAAATATTAAAATATTGAAAGCAATGACTTTAAAATCCATTCAATTCGCTATTTTAATAATCTTATATGAGTTTCACTACTTTATCATGTTATAATATTTTACTTCTTGGATCTAGAGTGAGATTGTTCTGACTAAGAATGTTATCCATTAAATTACAAACTTATTTTTGTTCACAATATTTCATCATCTCACTGTTATACTTGTATCTTCCTAGACTCAGTGTTGTTGTTTTTTTAAGTTTTGAGGACCCTTGGAACTCCAGATATATAGACCTTCTACGGAAAAATGAATACACACAGAATTTTTTATACAATTTTAGTGAGTTCTTGGTTACTATGGGTAGAGCTAAACTGACCATATTAACTTTGTTTCATGTGATTTTAACTTACAGTCTTACAATTATAGGGCTTTAGAATGTGCAAGTTTGACAGCCAATCAGTGTTCAGATGGTGTATGTCAATCGGAATGTGAGGACAGCTTTCCAACAAGTAAGGACAATTTTTAACGTTCACAGTTTAATCTCTGCCAAGTAAAATGGTTTTATCAACATTAATTCTCTATTTTAATATCTTCCTATATCTGTCTCTTTTTTTTTTAAATCCTCACCCAAGAAGTGAGGATATTTTTTTTCATTGATTTTTAGAGAGAGTAGAAAGGGGACGGGGGAGAGAGGAGAGAGAGAGACAGAAAGAGAGAAAGAGAGAAACATGATATGACAAACACATTGAACGGTTTCCTCCTACACACATTCCAACTTATTTTCTGTCCTAGCATGTGGTCTCTCTTGGAAAATATTCCATGTGCACTTGAAAAGAATGTATATTCTGCTGCTTTGAGGTGAAATGTTCTGCAAATATCAATTAAATCTATCTGATCCTGTGTTCCATTTAAGGTCACTGTTTCCTTGTTGATTTTTTTTGTCTGGAAGATCTATCCATTCATGACAGTAGGGTATTAAAGTCCCCTACTATGACTGTTTCGCTGTTGATCTATCCCTTAAAGTCTACCACCAGTTTTTAAAAATATATTTAGGTGCTCCTATATTGGGTACATATATGTTTATAAGGGTTATATTCTCTTGCTGGATTGATCCCTTTGGTACAGACAGTTCTCGGGTTACGTCGGACTCGACATACATCATTTTGTGGTTACGTCGCCATCTCCCATTTATTTATTAAAAAAAAAAGTTCTGTTATTTGGACATATGTGCATATGTGCTTTATGTTTTTTATTATTTATTTACTACAAGTAAAGGTCAGGAATTGTTATCTTTCTTTTAAATGTTTTTTACTGTTTCACTTCATTACTGCTGTGTCTGTGCTCCATGTGATGACGTAGTTGCTTATGTAGGTGGGTTCCAACTTACAGTGAAAATCACGTTAGGTCACACCTTAGGAACGGATCTCCGACGTAACTGAAGACCTACTGTATTATGTAGTGAACTTCTTTGTCTCTTGTTATGGCCTTTGCTTGGAAGTCTATTTTGTCAAATATGAGCATTGCTACCCTATAGGGGTAGATTGAAATAAATGAAGACTTTCTAGAAGAGGGGATATTGCACCAGGCCTTTGGGGATAAATGGGATTCCACAGAGCATAGACGGTTGGAAGGTGGAAGGGTGGTGGTGAGCTCTGAGGAGGGAGCTGCTGTGAT